GAAACTTCTGTGGAAAATTGCAGTCAGTCGAGATCTGACGACAACGAGTGTTTTCTCGTTCTCCGACGAGATTCAGCAATAAGGTTTACCGCATTACTACTACTGTTTTCCATTTTCCATTTTTTTTTTTTCTCACTCGCCGTGCATCCGCCATGGCGAGTAGTGCAAAACTAGACCTCAAGTCTTAAAAAAAATTAAAAAAAAAAGAAAAGAAATTTGTCTTCTCTAATTAGAAACGAAACTTCTGTGGAAGATTGCAGTAGAGAGATCTGATTACAATTTTTTTAGAACTCACCCTCATCGTGTATGTATGCAAGCTATATTTCCGCCCCGGTACAGTGATGATGAGGGCTCCTTGTGTTGGGAGCAGGGCGGGGTAGCGACCTGTATAAGCGGATGTATTTTTCCAGCGCATTTTTGCGGCACGATTACCGCGTGTAGCCCTTTTGCATTGCGAACCTCACTGGAGGGTCTGCTGTTGACAGTTAGTATTACAGTAGTATGACGACGCGTGGCGGATGTGTGCGGTCCGTCGGCCAAGTGACGGTTAACCGATCCGATGGATGACTGGGTGCAGTGGATGATTGCTATCTTTGTGTGGAATTAGGCGTTCTCTAATCTATCGTCCGATCGATCGACCAATCAATCAATCAATCAATCAGTCGAATGCTCGAGACTCGTCGGAAGCAAGGCAATCGATCAATCAATCAATCAATCAATCGATCAATCAGTCGAATGCTCGAGACTCGTCAGAAGCAAGGCAATCGTTCGATCGATCGATCAGTCAGTCGAATCAACGTACTATTTGTTATTTTGTCGAGTGCTTGACAGAAGCAAAGCGGTATTTCGGAACCAAGGCAATCGATTGATCGGTTAATCGATTGATCGATTGATCGGTTGATCGATTGATCGATCGAGCGGTTGATCGGTTAATCGATTGATCGATTGATCGGTTGATCGATTGATCGATCGAGCGGTTGATCGGTTAATCGATTGATCGATTGATCGGTCGATCCATCAGTCAGTCAAGTCAACGTATCAT